TGGGTTATATTCAAATGCGGCCCCCTTAAAATGACCAGTAACAACCACCTGTATAAATGAATTGTAACATGGGAAATATTTTATGACAATTTACGAGAAGCTCCAAACACTGTCAATTTGTTGGATGGCCTCTCCAATCTAATTGGAACTCTACATCATCAGTGATGTGCAAATTTAACTACTCATTATTGTTGCTGTTGTTTGAAAAGATTGCTATATCAAGATACTTCTTTTGGAAAATTCGGATCCCAAAAATCCTCCTAAGATGGTTTTTGGGGCCTCAGTTAACCATGTAAATGGGCAGATCAGTGTGTGGTGCTTTTCCTTGGAGCCATGGTTTACATGGAACCAGTGTTTAAAAACTCGGTGATTCGACTCCAAACTGTTGTATTCGAACTGGAATTCATAGGTAGCCAGTCTTTCAGTTTTTTTTTGGGTAGTTTAGTGGGGATGGGGTCCTCTATAGATGGCCAGTCTAATTTTCTCCCCAAGTTGGGACTCGACTCGATACACTAAGAAATCACATTAAAATGGGTTTTTTCTTTTTTATTATAGAACTATTGTTTCATAGAGTTCCTCAACCATTTTTAAGCATTTAAGATTTTTTAAAATTTTATTTACATTTTTCTATCGGGATTTTATACAATTGGATCATTTGTCTTTGGTACAATAAATCACAACTATTTTTAGACATTGGACGCCAAATTGAATAGCTTGTGGTATGTTGTAAAGTTAGAGATTTTATTTTGACTGTGAATCTAGTTGATGACACTCATATAACTACTTGATTTAAAATCTGACGGACAAAAGTGATTGTGACCTTCTTATATCAAAAGTAGGCAACCTCTTTCAAGGTTAAAAAAAACGGACTGGTGACCCGATTTGGCGACCACAAAAACTGTGTCGGATCAGTGGATCAACAATCCGGATCGGCCAGTTTTGGCCTAAATTACTTTTAAAAAAGCACTGTAATTTCTCAAAAATATAGTTTTTTAGATTTCTAAAAGAAATAGTGGCAATTTATTATGGTTTTCCATTATTGTGTCAAAAATATTTAAATACTGAGAATCTATCTCATGTTGAGTGTTTATTGTCTATTAAATTTATTTTATAATTAAAATAAAGTTTAAAAGGGAACATGACAATAAAATGATTATCTCTAGCTAATATCTTTATTTTATTATTGTATTAATTTAGGAGTTTTGAAATTTAAAAAAAGCTATATGGAACAAATTTCATGAAAGAGGTTGATAGTAGAGAGAGTGAGAGAGAATTTTAATGAAATTATTTGTTTGTAGTTTGTACTATTTAGCAGAGAGATTCAATTTTAGTAGAATAAATTTTAATGGAATTATTGATGGATCAAACTTTTTAGCGAGAGAGTTCTTAGTACAGAGAGAGACCCCAAGGTTGGGGGGAGAGAGTTAAAAAAAAAGCAAAGGCTTTTATAAAGCTGGTGAAGCAAAATAAAAAAAAAGCCACACGTGCAACTAATGATCAAATAATCTCCAACTAAATAATCTCCCACTGTTTCACAAATTGTGTATGCCTAGGCTTTTAAGCATTTTACGGTGAAGCCAAAAAAAAAAAATCCCATGTTAGCGATTTCATGAAGGGATTCATACACCTTAAGTATACACATTAGCCACACGTGCAAATTGTTTAGCTATTATCGATCTTGATTGATAAGTACACGTGGGGTGATGTTAGTGATTGTACGACTTTAAAAAAAAAAAAAGTGGGGTGGGCTGCCCCAGTTTTTACGCTCGGTTGATTCATGATAAGAGATTTTGTCATAGAGCCGGCCGGTTCAAGGGGTAAGTCGGCTGGTTCTCGATAGGAATTGGATCTGCTGCAACGATTTATAATCTAAATCAGGCAATTCCGATATGATTCAGCAATTTTTAAAACCTTGGCCTTTACGTTTACTTTTCTTTTTTTATTTTAAATTTTTTAATTTGGTGTGGAGTTGCCAACCAAGTTAGGTGATTGCTTTGACCCTCCGCTAGAATTTTTGTCCACTACATAGAAGCAAACAAAGTCTTAGTCCACTGGATGTATTACGAAATTTAAAACGGACATACAAATTGGTCATACTGTGAGCGTCAATTAAGGAAAGAAAAGATCTGATCGGATAACGAATAATCTTATTTTCTTCCAATGATTATTCGATAATCTACTTTGTTAGAGAAGAAAAGTGAAGCTTTATATATTCTAGTCACATTCACTTTTCTATATTCAAGTCGCATCTCTTATTCAATGAATATTTTGGTCAACTAAAGCTATCTCTAATAATTTTGATTTATTTAAAAATATTAAGTTAAAGGTAAGTTTAGATTCTTAATTCTAAAGGCCAAAGGCCTAACTGTTTTCTAGGATGTTTACATATATGCAAAATAATGTGTACATTTCAAGTAAAGGTTGGGTTAAGTGCAAATCTATACCTCAATAAATAAGGAAAAAGTGTTGACACCTTATAATGTAGAATTAATGTGCACCTCAAAATCCGTAAAAAAAAATGATGATTTGATGATACGAAAATATCTATTTGATCATCTCGGTATCGAGATATATAGATATGGAGAAAAAAAAGATTTTCGGTCTTAAAAATAGTACATTTTTCATTACATTATTTGGACCATCCATTTTCAAGATTTCTTACACTTATAGATGTGCTTGACTTGCATTATTTTTGGAGTGTGAAACTATTATCTTGCCATCATGAGAATTTTCGACACCAAAATTGCATTTCCTACTTACTTTTCAAATTATTAATGTAGAGATGTTTTTTTCTCTATTTTTTGGGTAGTTCAACAATAGAAACCGAACGTGACACATAACTCCTCTAGAAAGAGATGTTTATTACGCTAAAAAAAAAGGAAAAAAAAAGAGATTTTCATTGGTGGAACGAACAAATACTTAACACCCTTCTTAAAACACAAACAACCATCTAAGAAAGTAAGGAACTAAGAAAAATTATCTATACATGTTATAGGTTGAGAGAAAAATAATTAGATGACAATGGAAAAGAGCCATGAGGTAAGCGTCCAAAAAAATCTTTTAGAGCCTTGCTGCATAAGAGTTAGGAGTACATACGCAGGACAAGAATATAACCAGGTCACAAACCGTAACAACTACGCGTCTGTATGGCACTCCGGTCCGTCTATCCTACTTTTAGAGTTGGAGATGCGTTGCGTGGCGGGTGCGGCCTGGTGGGTCTAGTCATAAAAAGACTAGGAGATGAAAAATCACTCAATAATTAAACTAAGGCCGGTCAACTACGACTCGAGAGTAAGACAGTGCCGGTCCACACCAGGCACGTCGCTTGAGCAGGTCCTATAATGACTAGAACACTGTAGCACGTCACGCCTTAACCCTAATTTGGATTGGTCTTATAAATAATGACTAAAGCCACGCTGTGGCGGACAGTAGCCCACCTTCGTAAGACCATGTGAAGGTTAAAGTCAAAGCGGTGGCGACCCGACGCACGCCAAAGTCGCCACCACCCCATCGACCATGGGTCTTCCTGATCCCTCTCTCTCTCCGTTTATGGAAGAGGGGAACTTCTGCCAACCACGTGGAGGAGAGGGAAAGAGTCTTGTCTTCCTTTTCCGTACCGTGAGAAGCCGTCCTCCGTCCATATCCTCACTGTTTAAGAGAGAGAATCGTAGAGGGACAGGGACATTCGTCCGTTTATGGAAGAGGGGAACTTCTGCCAACCACGTGGAGGAGAGAGAAAGAGTCTTTCGGTGTTTGTCTTCCTTTTCCGTACCGTGAGACGCCGTCCTCCGTCCATATCCTCACTGTTTAAGAGAGAGAATCGTAGAGGGACAGGGATATTCGTTTCCTCTCGCGTTACACGTGTTCTGTTTTATACGACATACGCGTAATTAGCACGTGCCTCATTCGTTTCCCATCAATCAAACAACGAGTAACGGGTCCCACGACTAAAAAACATTAACAGCGGTCCCCACCACTAAAAAATCCCTAATTTCCACCTACCGTGATTTTCACACAAATCTGAGATGATATTGGTGCAGGCATCAAGAAAATGGGTGGCCACCGCTTTTTCCCTTCGGTGTTTCCTTGTTTACGGAAAAGCAGGAAACCCCAAAAATTTGCTGCCGTGTTTTCCTTGTTTCCGGAAAGCAGGAAACCCCAAAAAATTGTTCCTCTGAACCTCGCGCAGAGGTTTGATCATGGCGACGTTATCCCTTTTACCCCAAACCACTAAATTCCAGAGGCCCTAAAACTCCAAAACGGTAAGCGGGTCCCTCCAAAACCAGTTTTTACAGTTGCTCCAAAATCCTAGCGGCCCCATGGGGGCTCTGATGGCTTCTAAAATCCTAGATTTTTACAGGCTTTAGACTCCTAATGTTTAGGTACGCCGAAAGCCCAATGTATAGGTAAATTCCCAAAATTCTACCTTCCCAGGGCCCCATGAACCCTAATCTACAGCTTATGCTTTTCAAATTCCAACACGTAATTTACTAGGGGACCACAAAATCCTAATCTACGGAACCCCGCAAACCCTCAAAGCAGAACTTTGCAGCAGGTTCAAAACCCTAATTAACAATGGTTACTAAAGCCTAATTCGGACTGGGGAGGCCCAAAAACCATGAATGAGAAGGGGAGGGGGCTTTTCAAAATGCAATTTACATGGGTTCCGCAAAACCCCAATTTGCAGGGGTTCCACTAGAAACCAAATCTACAGGCACTCCTTAAATCTCTAATGTGCTGAAGGGACCTCAAAACTTTAATTTAAATGGAAAATACAAAAGCCTGATTTAGAATGGTTAGGCCCCAAAACCCTAATTATGCAGAGGGGGCCCCAAAGCCCTAACGTGCTGGGGCCCATGAAGAGGTCATCACTGGCAAGGAGTAGATGCCTATACGCACGGATGTCTTTTAAACATCATGGGGTTATGACGGAGCAGTGACACGTGCTGCTAAAAAAGCTGCACCATTGAGCCATGAGGAAAAGGTGTGGTGAATCTGATTCATCACCAACCTGCCTTTTCTAAATTGATAGAACGTTTTCTGTCTCCTCTTATTTCTCGTCTCATATATTACATCTGTTCTTCCTCTTCTTCTTTTTTGTTATAGTTTATCTCTCCGTATCTGGAGCTTGCTGGTGTCGTTCATGGCTTCCATTGCCTGTTGTTTTTCTTGGGTTTTCGTAATTTGGGTTTTTTTAGTCCTTTTCGATCAAGTGAACTCGAGGTTGGATTTGAATTGCTCGGATTGGGATGGTGTTAAATTTGAACTGGGAGTTTTAGATGAGAGGGTTGGAGAAGAAGGGGAAACAGGAATTGGGGGCTCTCAATCTTCATCTGAAGAGATTCTTGCTCTTGCAAAGAGGCCTGAAACAAAGAAGTGGTTGAAAGGATTGCGGCGAACCATTCATGAGAATCCTGAATTAGCTTATGAAGAAGTGGAGACGAGTCGTTTGATCAGGAAAGAGTTGGATAAGATGGGTGTGAAATACCGATATCCACTAGCAAAGACTGGTATAGTGGCTTCAATTGGAACTGGGGGTCCTCCTTTTGTTGCCATTAGAGCTGATATGGATGCTTTGCCAATTCAGGTGTAGTTTTGTATATGTGCAGTACCTTTGATGCGTGAAACATGTGGTGTATTCTCTTTCTTAAGGCACCTTTTTGAGGGAGTTGATGTGGTTATCTGTTTCAATTGGTGATCGGATTTGACCACCCACACTTGATTTTGGAGAATTCAAATTGATGATGTGGAAACTAATGTATTTTAGTATCCGGTATAAATCTGGTGTGTTCCTCTAATAGTGGTCGCATGAATGCAAATTAAATGGTTCTCACTGCAAGGGTGCTTACCACCTGTTCTCGGTGGTTGCTGGTAAAGATTAATTGAACCCATTGAATGTCTGTCACAAGGAACCAACATTAATCTATGCCAACTGACATTGCGAATGGATCGCAGATGCCCATTCAGTGTACGGTGTACTCACAACTACATGCAGGAGGTTTTATTTATTTATTTATTTATTTTTGGGTAATTTAGTGGAGAAGACAGACCCAACTAGTTTAGGAGTTAGTTTTCTGAAGGTGTTAGTGGGTGGTGTGAGTGGGAATGAAAACCAGGTGATTGATCTGTCGGGGTGCTACCACTACGACCCCCTTTCCACATCTAGGAGGTTTTTGATTATTCGGGTTTGATCCCACTTTAAAAGCATTGATTATGCCCTTGACATCAACTCAAACCTTTTTTTTTTTTGGGTTGGGCTTGACATTTTCTATCTTGGAATGTGTGTATGAATCCTTTTCTGTGGACAGTAAGGCATAATTTATTGTTTTTTCTCGTTTAGGCTACTACACCATGTTTTAGCTTGGCAATTTCTTTATCATGTAATGGAACATTATTAAGTTGCCTCTCTTGCATTGGACTTTATAGTAATCCCAATACTAAACATTTTTATGAGGACATGAGTAACATTGCCTCATGGTGTGCATGATGTGCATGTGCATGTGCATGATGCATAGTATATATATATAGAGGAATAAGACTTACCCAAAAAAAAAAGTATAGAGGAATTATATATTAGACACGTGATACATGAGTGAAAGTTGTGAGACCAGTGTTTAGCTCCTTTCTAACCACCATGGCTGGATACAACCAATGTGTTGCTAGTTTTTAAGATACCGTCAAGGACATGGATGCACCTAAGTGGAACTAATGCCTCCCCCTAATCATGTTCAATGATTTGCTTTCTACCGGTGGCCTAAACATGGGCTGAGAGAGCACTCTTAACCCTACCTAGATGTTTCTCACTTGTGCCTTAGTAGTGTCATACAAGATTTGGTTTATTAAGTTCATTTAGTTTTTGAAATTTGTTTAGTTTTACTTCATTTAGTTTTTGAAATTTGTTTAGTTTTACTTCATTTAGTTTTTGAAATTTGTTTAGTTTTACTTCATTTAGTTTTTGAAGTTTGTTTCATGCTCAGAGCAACAAGATTGTGCATGTATGATTATCAAATTGTGCATGTATGATTATCAAGCATACTTTCTCCTTAGAATGCATATTTATGCCCTACTTAAATGTTGTGTTGTTTGATGATTTTACTTCTTGAGAAGTCCTATTACAATGAAATTTTTTAATTTTCTTTTGCCATCTATATTGTAGGAAGCTGTTGAGTGGGAGCACAAAAGCAAAGTTGCTGGTAAAATGCATGCCTGTGGGCATGATGCACATGTAGCGATGCTCATAGGAGCTGCCAGCATATTGAAGGATCGAGAACATCTTTTATATGTTTTAGCACTTGCCCTTAAATCTCCCTTTTCTTTTTATATAGCTTGCTACTATCTGTGTTGTCTTTTAAGTATAGTCTTGGGTGCTGCATAAAGTTTCTTAACCAGTTAAGTTTTAACCTAAATAGGGCTGATATTTTGAAATTTTGGAATTTATGCTGTTATATCATTAGTCTTAAACACCATGGAATTTGTGCTGTTTATCATTTTTTAACCCGTACCACTGTTATATGTCAAACTTATTGTTTTTGTCCATGTTGCTATGGAGTTTCAGTGGGGTGGCCTCAAGTAACTTCATATAAAAATGGTATTTACAGATGGCGTATGTATTGAGATATGTCGTTTCATGCAGCTGTGTTCTGGATTCCTGATTTATTTCGCGATACAAGCCATTTTTATACGTGTTCAGGAAAGGTTTCTTTCCTCAAGATGGATTTATGATATAAAACAATGGCTAAGCATGGAAAACCTGTTTGAGAACGATCCTGGACCAGGAAGTGTCTAAATTAAACATGATTTTTGAGGAATTTTGTTTGGAGTAGCAAATGGCACGCTAACGTGACCATGAAGTATTGTAGTATTCTATTTACTAAAATATAAAACTTATTCTAGTGAATCAACATCATTAATGTTCCATCAAAATAATCACAAAATATTGTTCCGTAGAAAAGAAAAATATGGGAAATAGGGATGCATAGAAATGCATAAACATAGGAAATTTACTCCCGCCGTTAGAACTCCATGTTGTAATATTTGAAGTGCCTATGAATTAAAAATAGAAAATGGTTTAAAAGATAGATTTTTCATTTTTTCTTAATCTTGAAGTTTTTTTTCTTATTTTCTTGCTTACATTGACTTAGAAAATGCCAAGATTAGGTGAGTAGAAGCTTTCTTCTTATGAGGTAAACCGGTAAACCTAACATGAAAGACCAAGCATGGTGCACTTTTGTAGGTACAAATATTTTAGCTAAAGTAGGTGGTGATTGATAAGGTGACCATGCTAATTAAAAGTAATATTTTTTCTGAAAACATTCTATTAGGATAAAAGAAACCCCCCAAAAAGAAGAAAAAAAGAAACACCTGTAGAAGTGATATCATAGAGTGTTATGTGCATTAGTCCAATGATGATGGATTCTTGGCTAACCTCACTGTGGCTAGGACTTCTATTGTGAAGAGACTAAATGAATGTGTACCTCTTATTAGAGGAAGGGTAAAAGTGGGCAATTTGTTGAGTTAACACACCACCAGCAAAATCTTAGAGTTAGATGGTAATAAGGCCCATTGAACTTGTATCGCACGGTGACAGACTTCATAGGCCCACATGAAGAAAGGAGGTGTGATATTTATCATGCAAAAGCCAATTTCAAATGGGTTACAACATTGCTATCCAGTATCCCTTTTGATGTGGCACCTATGGCATTCGTTTGCAATCATTGTTCATGGCTTAAACGTTCAGTTTCTTACAGGCAAGCAACTTGTAATTAGATGATTAAGTTAAAAGAGAAATGTCTTCAGAAAGCATGAAAAATCTTTGAAGAGTGGTTGCTCTTTAATGTTAGGCAGGTAGAAGGATACAAATGAGTAATTACGTTGGGCCCTAACATGGATGCCTGACAATAAGCTAGAAGTTCAAAGCGATAAAACAAGTTGCTTGATCATCTATTAGTACGTCAAACCAAGAGCAAAGGTGACATCAAAAGCCTCAAGAGTTGGATGTATGTTTATGGTGTAAAGGATGGCTCCATATTAAACAGGCAATCAAGAGTTGGATGTATGTTTGTGGCGTAATGGATGCCTCCATATTAAACATGCAATCAACTTCGTCGTGCGAAACTGGTCGTTACTCTTGTTTTCAGTGAATATAACTTTAATAGCAGTATTGTGGAAACAATTTATTGAGTTCAAGTTCCATGTTCATTAAAATCGTGGATAAGCATGGAAATCAGGCTATAGACCTCATTTAGGTCTCAGCCAAAAAGGCCTACTCTTCTTCAGGTCATGAATGAGTCATCGCATAATTAAGTTGATTCACATGAGGAAGAAAAGGCAAACTTCTACTAAGATAAATCTGCCTGTATCTATTACGACTCTAGCTTGGGTAAGAGGTCAATGGGAGGTAATTAAAAGAATATAATTCGATCATGTCCCCTGAAATGTAAACTTTTAGAAAAGTTAAATGATTATAATTGGCAAAACATGTTAATGATCTTTCAGTAGTTTGGGATAAAAAATCCAGTCTTAATCTAGCAAAAAAAATATAATCTGTATTCATGATTAGGGGTGTGAGGTGGTAGCTGATTAAGAAATAAGAAGTGGAAGAAGATGTAGATTTAGATAATGAGGTCAGTTGCCATGGTTCCATTATGTGAGAGATCATGAGGATTGCGATGGTGATGTTGCGGTGGAAAATTCAGTGATTGACTGTAATTTTTATGTCACTAGTCCTATGGCGATTCAGAAAAGACACTCATGGGATTTGTGGATCCTTCTGATAATTTAAAGCATTGAACAAGTTAAACTTGAAATTCCCCTTCTTGTATTGTACTGAAACGCTGTGAACCTTTTGTAAACTATCTTCGTTGTCTTGTTTTACTTGATGAATAATCCATCCTCACCTGTTGTTGATGCTTCACCATGTGAAAATTTGATTTCTGTGATCCTCAACTGTTCTTGCTTGTGTTTTGGATATGCGGTGATTACCTTTTTTGCGCCATTCCTCTCTTCAAATAGTTCTCTAAACTTTTTTGTTTCCCCAATATTTAAAGCCCAAAATGGCTTCCAGAGCAGTCTTTTTCGTTAACATAAACTGCATATATCTTGAAATATGTTTTCTTCTACCAGTGCTTTGACAACTTTGTACTGTCTTCACGAATTTAGTCATTGGGATTCTGTTTCTTCCCCCTCTTAATGATTATCTAAATTAGAGTTGAAATGTCATGTAGTGTAAGACACTATCTAGAGTCAAATTTGTCCAAGCTCCAGCTGAAAAAGTAGGTTGGCAATTGCCTTTGATCCAGATCCCATAGGAAGTTAGGTTGGAGTCAACTTATTTTTTAAATTGGTGTCTTGTTTATTGTAAGTTTCCGGGAAAATGATGAGAATGAGTATGAGAGTATCAAAGGGTGCGGAATATTGATTTGACCTTCCGAATTAGGACATTCTTTTTGGGTCATGGTTTATGTCATCTACAAAGAAATACCTAATTATATTTATAAGTGGTACTTGCATTTTGTTGCGTTGGTTGGTTCTATTGTGTTTCAGTTCATGAGTGCTGTGCTTCGCGTGTCCAGGTATTGAGTGTGTCATTTATATGTGCAACTTGTTCTTGTAATTTGGTCAGATGTCATGTTATTTTCTTTTCTATCAAATAGATCTTCAAACATCACTGCTTAAAAAATTGAAGATTTCAACAGTCATCAATTGCTGCTCTATTTTTCTTTGTTGAGCATCACTGCTTTCTCAATTTCTGACTATCTATTGTTAATTCAGGGAACTGTCAAACTGCTGTTCCAGCCAGCAGAGGAGTCAGGTGCTGGTGCCAAGAGAATGATTGAAGATGGGGCGCTTGAGAATGTTGAGGCAATATTTGCTGTTCATGTATCATCACAACATTCTACTTCTTTGATTGGGTCTAGGCCTGGTCCATTGCTTGCTGGTTGTGGGTTTTTCAAAGCATTGATATCAGGGGGGGGGGGTCATGCTGGTACCCCGCATCATTCAACAGACCCAATTTTGGCTGCCTCAGCTGCAGTAATCAGTCTGCAGAACATTGTGTCTCGTGAAGCGAATCCTCTTGATGCTCAGGTATTTATTCATTGAACATGCTTCTTGTTCTAGCGTGACGTCTTATCTATTTTTCTTTATTGCCTGTACTTTAAATACATAGTTATATTTATAAATTGATGTTCAGAGCAAAAGTATCCATAGATTTCCTTTTATAAATTGGTGTCGAGAGCAAAAATATTCCTAGATTTCCTTTTCACTATTGACACAAGGTCTGGAAATAATGAGAAAAATGTCAGGCATGTGATGGGACTGGCAAATTAAGTTGAAATGGGAGCCTGTGATCTTTTCCCATTTTATTTTCTTAGTTTTAAATTCAAGATTAATATGTTTTGGATTGCTTAATGGATCACTGAACGTGTTCTTTCAAGTACGAAAGGCAAAGAAAAAAAAAAAAAAGAGACGAGGAGATCTTGCTGACTACAAAGAGTTGGACCTATCTTGGAACTCACCCAAGTGCCATGATGATTTGGCTGGAGACTCAGGAATCTGAATCGGTAGTTTTGAGACCAAAAAGTTTACAAAAAAAAAGGAAATATCATATAGTTCTATATGGTGAACAAAGGAAAAAATAAAATTTAGCTCCCTCTCATGCCCAAAAATAATGTTGAAACTTAACAGAAGTAGCTAAAAATTGAAAGAAACAGGTTCCTTTTTTCGGCTCTTGGTTAAAACCCAGGTGATGCATGGATTTGCTCAGTCCTGTAAGACTCAAAGCAAGTCTCTGATGACTCTCTCTCTGTCACTCTCTCTCTTTCTCTCTCTCTCTCTCTCTCTCTCTCTCTCATCTGTATAACTTGACAGGTCAGTTGGCCTTGATTGAATTCGGACTCTTCAAACAGTGGCAGATTGTAAAGAAAACTGAATTTGTGGTAAGAGTGAGGAGAGGGGACGAAGACATATCTAATCTGTTAGGGGATATTGGAATATTGTGGAAGGGAATTTCTCACTGGTGAAAATATTGTGTTTGCCTGAGAAGTTCTCTTGCTCATATGAATTTGTTCAACTGATTAGTTGCTCAAAGGGTGAGGTGGGTGGGAATAAAAATTAAACACAAGCAAGTGTAGCTTTAGGGGCTCATGGAAGGGGTACTTCTATTCCACTCTGACCTGCAGGGTACACAGTTTGAGAGTGACTAGGGGTTGGGTGTGTTTTGGGGCGGGTTTATGATTAGCGAGGTTTAGGTAAATTTGGCCCAATCAGGATTGTTGTTGTCCTTTGTAGTAATTGTCTTTCCTTTCAATGGTGTATGCATATACAATTACATAAATGCTTAAATATATGGGTGCGGTTTATATAAGCCGGCAACCTTATTGGTGGATATATGGTTGTGGTGTTCTACACTTTTATTTTAGTTGGACAATGTAAATTTAGTACGTCTTTTAATAAAATGCAAAAAAATTATACGTTTTTTAAGACATGTCAAATCTACACCATCTAATTGAAATGTGTAATGTAGATTACTGCAATATTACTTTTACATTTAAGGTTGGAGCCTTATATTAGCTTTTTCCTACATGTATTGCTTGGAGTCTTGGCTGTATCACGTGCAATCCTAGGTACTCACCTAGGAAGGTGGTACATAGGGTGCAGTCGTGGTGTAGATGATCCCCTTTAAGTGCTTGGGGATTGCTAATGTCTATTAAATTGAATTGGCTTTAGCCTTTGTATTTCTTCTCCTGTGAAATTCTTTTTTTTAACATATCTGGACACAAAGCATCTAAATTTTACTTTTGTTTCTGGTTTATGGTCTTCTTTTTCTTTCTGTTTGTTACTTTTGTTTTTTGATAAATTTGTCCCATCTAGTTTATGTTTTGGTATATTGGTTTCTTTGCTCCTCACAATGTTGGGATTTATTGGCTCTAGGGGTAACTTTGAATTCTTCATTCCTTATTTGATATTCCTCTCTTGTTTCAGGTAGTCTCAGTGGCCGCCTTCAATGGAGGAGAAAGGTTAGATGTAATTCCCAAGTCAGTAACCATAGGTGGCACCTTCCGGGCTTTTTCCAATGAGAGCTTTTACAGCGTTAGGCACAGAATTGAGGAGGTGACCATTAAGAAGAGCCCTTTAATATTGTTACTCACAATCTATCACATTCATTTTTGCATGGGTGCCTTGTGTATCTATTGGTTTATACTGAAAACCGTTTCTTGGAAATACAGGAGCAAAATGGAACGCATCAAGTCTCTGAGAACAGTTTGCAAATAATTAATCAATGGCACAATGAAAAAGAAAACATAAGATAGTTTCATCAGTGTATGGGATACTAAGCAAATGGCACATATTGCCCATGAACTTCACATAAAATGAAAATATAAAAATCTTGATTTCTATTTTTAAAAAGCAAATCAATTAGAGGAAGTAGAAGGAATTATCTTAATTGACAGTTCAGGCTGAGCTCTATTCGTCCATACATAATACAAACCATTTGAATTGTTCCTGAGATAGAAGATTAGTATTAATGTTTTCCAATCTAACACTGAAAAGTATTAAATTTCTATAAATCACCTTTACTGAACAATATTGAAAGGCATTCATTACCCCATGTGCATTATTGCATTGTAAGGAGGGTTTATAGTTGCCAGTATTGCAAGAAATCTTACTTCCAAGGAAGAAATGCACTGTCATATGAATCTTGAAAAGGAAAGAATGAAAAGTAACAGAAAGAGGTTAATAATTTTTTCTTTTTTCCTCCGTTAAGGAAGATTGTCCTCCGTTAAGGAAGATTGGTGAAAGCATGAATTTTCAAGAAAGTGAGCAAGAGTTGTGTCATTACCTTTTCTTGTTAATTGGTAAGAACTCTCATCTTAATTGCCATTGTTTGAACAGGTTATCACAAGGCAAGTAGTGGTATACAGATGTTCTGTGGAAATTGATTTCTTTGAGGAGCATGGGATGTATCCACCAACTGTGAATGACGTGCACATGTATGAGCATGTAAGGAAAGTGGCAATCGATATGTTGGGACCAGCCAGCTACTTGTATGTACCACCAATGATGGGGGCCGAAGATTTTGCGTTTTACTCGGAGAAAATCCCAGCTGCCTTCTACTACATAGGGGTAAAGAATGAAACCATAGGCTCTGTACACACTGGCCATTCACCGTTCTTCATGATTGATGAGGAGGTTCTCCATGTTGGTGCTGCTGTTCATGCTGCCATAGCTGAGAGATACCTTAGTGAGCATCCATGATATGTATTCAGGTCCAAAGCACCAAATGCTATGGTATATGAAATGATTGTTTATGAGTTTGTTGCAATCAATCAATTATTTGTTTATTCGAGAAGGTGATGTTGCGTATACGATTTTAGAAAACATTGGTGGTTTCTTTTCCCCTTGGTGAAGGGGCATCCAACCTCTTGGGTGGGTAAGATCAAAAAGGTGAGTTGGATGGTGCGTTGAGGTGTTGTAACATAGTCTGGTTCTCTTGGTGGATTTTTCTAATTTCTCCATTAAAGTTGTAGGAGCTATAAGAAATGTCAATTCCATTCTCTCTCTCTCTCTCTCTCTCTCATGCACACACAGACACACACGCAGGCACTGCACAATTCTTTTTATTTTTAGGGTGAGGTGTTGCTACGGGTTTCCTTTTATTTTTAAGGTTCATATTGCTTGGCAAAGGTAAAGTATGAAACACATCAAATTTAGCATATTCATTTGGTATTGCCCCGTTTGATATGCTGACAATTTTTACAAAAATTCACCTCAAAAAAGGAAAAAGTATTAAATGGAGAGAATAAGAGTAATAATCCTATGAGACCTTTCTACATTTATGTGTTTAGGACTCCAATGGATTACCATTAAATTTGACGCAGATCTCTAAAAAAGTTATCACATGGGTAAGGGATTTGACTTTTTTAAAATCTGTGTCAAATTTAATGGTGATCTTTTGAGGTCCTACACACATGAGTGTTGAAGGGTCTCATAGGATCTTGACTCAGAGAATAATGCGAATTTGGATGGATCACTGATCAAAACCAGAAATAGTTTTTCTAGTATACTTGTATTGAACACCCTGATGAGGTGTTTGGTTCAGGGTGTTTGGTCTGGTCCATTTTTTCCGAACGTGTTTGTTCGGAAAATGCTTAATTAGCCAGTAAAGTCACCAAGATAACCCTTTTTTTTTTTGTGGGCTAGTTTTTGATATAACTAACGTTAAGAAGGGCTCACTTGGTTCATTCAAAGTTGCCTTTAGACGTCTTGCTAGGCTACAGACTACGAAGTCAATTTCAATATTTCTCCTTCGCCTAAATACAGTGTCTGAAAGAAATCCTAACGACTGTTGCAATTCTCTCGTCCCGAACTTCTCATAAACCTTCTAAACGATGTGCTTTTGTTCCATTCTAAGAAATCGTAACGACTGTTTCAATTCTCTCGTCCCAAACTTCTCATAAACCTTCTAAACGATGTGCTTTTGTTCCATTCTCAGCTACTGTCAATGCCAGAGAATGTTGTTCAACATTAAATTCTTCATTTCGATTTCCCTTCAATTCCTAGAATTTTTACGTGGGTACCCTCAGTAATTGTACCCTTCTAACATAAAATACAAAACACAAGCCTTCCACCAGTGAGGATTTGTTCTAAGTGACAATTATGGTGATGGCTTCTCTTTGCATCCCCATCCTTATAGCAGCATAAAAACTATTTAGATCTCATTTTCAAATCATGCATAGGTAGGTTGATTGGGCAAACAAAGTACATTCTCCTACCTCTTTGCACAAATCTTTTTGCTGATGTCATATATTACCCTTCCTCATGTCACTTTCCTTGTTAAAGGTTGAGGTCCATTAGTTATGCTGATAGGAAAATTGTTTCATGCTGGCTGGACCGCATTTTCATAAAGCATCGATCTTTAAGATGGATGCAAATAGGTGGTCCATCTAAAAACAAGTACAACTACTACTGGTCCAAATGTTTTCTTAATATAGTTATTATTTCTAGTTTTCAATTTTTTATTTTTTTTTCATATTCATGATCTCCATATTAAAGATTATATATTCTCTAAATATTATGATCAAATTATATTTAAAACTATATTTATTGCTAAGCCCACATTTCTACAATATGCGGGCTGGCCGCATAGAAACCATGTCCTTACTAATATAAGAAGAAACAGATCAGGGTTTTAAAACCCTCATGAATATTTATATGCAGCCACACCTTCCTTTTCGGAACCATGTACGACTTTCGGTTCATGAGAGTTGCTCTCAAAATCTAAGAACTCATTTGTATGCGGCTTTGAAATGCGTTCTGCTATTGTGGAGAGCACATGGCAATGGCTTGCCACTTTTTAAACCTGTTTAGTTGCAGACACACTTGATTCCTTTCTATAAACCAGAAAAGATATACCTTTGGTTAGGAATCGGACTTGGGTTTGATTAATTAGTTGTTGACTATTATAGCATTACATCTCAATTCCGATTCCTTTATGTTGTCCAACTTAGTCCTGCATTCAAATGCTCTTCATTTTCCTATGCTTTTAAAATGACATACTTCTTGAACCTCAATTTCAACTGCATAGCATGCTTTACCAACACTAGACTCTTGCATCAAGAGAGTCACTTAGTTAGGTGTGGTAGGGAAGAACATTCTTTTCTTCCTTGTGATACTTAACAAAATCTATGGGACTATACTTGAAGTTTCTTGGATGCACCATTGCTTTTTTTACCACGAATGTTTAGAATTCTACAGAAAGGATAAAAAATTTGTCAAGGGCAGGCAATGGGTCGGTAAGCCCGGCTCTAAAAGAGTTGGGCCTCGGCCACAAACTGTGACCCGAGGCTGGCCGAGTGTCAGGCTAGGGCTATTGGCGGCCCAGTTCAATCTAGCCCAGCCTCTTTTTTCTTATTTTTCTTTTATTTTTTCCTCATTCCCAGCCGTAATAGGGCTAAGGCCGAGCTGGGGCCTGCGTCTTGCCTAGCCCGGCCCCTTGCCACCATTATTTTTGTTCTTTTGTTTAAGTAGTTTAGAGGAAACCACGGGCAATCCTCCAATTTTCTTAACAACAGTATCCCCTTGCTAATATAACTTTAAATTGACAGGTTGATTTAGTTGTTAACCTCAATTAAATCGTTGCAACCTAAAGGATTGGTTCCAAATCCCTATCCTCAACCTACCTTAACAACTGTGCCCTTCAAAGATCGGATAGAAACCTTAAACTTCATTCTAATTTAAACCGCACAAAGTCGGACTAAATGACTAGCCAAATGGCACTATCGCTACTATTTTTTAAGGAAAAGTATCTCATCCACGTGATGTGAACAGGTAGAAGGGTGCACAATAACCCATCAAATGGTTTAGATTTCATTAGGGGTGGCACTGGACCCAAACCCGACCAAGGACCCTAGGGGTAGACTCGATTTGGGTTCTGATATGGGTCCAAAAATTAGACCTGGCAGATCAGATCCAGGTCAAATCAGGTCTACATCTGGATCCGGGCCCGGTAATATTTTTCAAGTCCGACTACATGAAATATATCTAAATATAGTTAAATACATAAATATTTTAATTTTTGGGTCATGTCCCGATCAAGTCCAAGTCCAAGTCCCACGCTATATTTCCTGGTCCGGGTCCCACTAAATTTGGGTCCAGGTTTAGGCGGACCCGGAACGGGATCCCGACCCAATCCGACCTGTTGCCACCACTAGATTTCGTGAGACCACATCCAAATGGATCTCATATTTTATTTTTTTATTTTTTATTCAAATAAGATATTTATTTGAATTTTGACTGTGTATGTTCATTTTTATAAATATAACTAAATTAAAATGCTTAAAAATATTTTAGATAAAAAAATAATCAAAATATATACTTGTAGCTAAAGCTCAAATTTTAGATGAATGTCATTTTTAAATAAAAATTAAATAATAAAAAAAAAACAATTTTTCAATATGAACTATTCAAACCTGATTTCAAGTGCCCATGAAAGCACGCCATCTTCTTTTATAAATTCTCTATCTAAATCAAACCACATGTCCATGACTATAAGCCACTGGTTAGAAATCAGCAATTGGGTTCGAAATCGCCCGATCACTAGGTCATTGGTTGCGATAGTTCTAACCACTTTACAAGGTCTATATAATAGATTTTTTTATCAAAGCCCCAGTTTGAATTATGGAAAAAGTTTATATAAGGATGCAACCTTATGATGTAGAACTACGGATGCACCTCAAAAATCCTTTGGAAAAAGTAGTTTTAATGTTGAAAAACCCTTTGATTGATCATCTCGACATGAAGATGTTTGACAATGAAAAATAAAAAGATTTTAAGTCTCAGAAACATTTTACAACATATTATCTACACTGTCCATTTTCAAGTTTTTCATATGTTTATAGATCTACTTAATTTTAACCCTTTTTGAAATTTAAAATTTTATAGTTAGATATAAAAATAGATTTTGAGATAATCCTAAGAACATTTTACATCAAAATTATATACCACGATAAAATTTGAAGGTGCACCTTACCTTTATAGCGACGGATGCATCTGTATGCCAACTGCACACTTGAATTATTGGGACTCTTCTTCCCCTTTTCACTCTTTTTTTCCTCTTTAGTAAAAAAAACAAACAGGGATATTGTTGCCTACACCATATTTCAAACAAGTAAAAAAATCTTTCCCTAAACAAGATCTCATTAAAAAAATCTTTCCACAAAATCAAACTTCAAACGATTCAAATGCCTTGTGGTAGAATATATTTTTAAAATCTCATATATTGTCAGATTTCTGAAATCTGATTTGACCTTTTATTTTTTATTTTTTGAGGTAATTCAGTGGGGGAAGACAGGCCCCTACCCATTTTTTTTTAAGTAGATTATGAGTTAGATATTTGAAGTTGTTAATGGGATGGTGTTATTTTTTTTAAGTAGATTAGGAGTTAGATTTTTTAAGGTGTTAATGGGGTGGTGTTAGCGGTAGGAATAAAACTACAAGGTGGTAACTAGGTGTGGGTATGGTACCATCATGACCTCAGCACCTTTTCCTATCTGATCTAATCGTAGATTTCTAAAGATTCAAGTCTTAAAGAGCAATGATCCAATGCAACGGTTGTGTCATAGTATAATACAACGATACTTCTAAAAAACCATGTTTGTGGTATTTATGTGACCTCAAATTTTGCACACCACTCTCTTCATCTCAATAATCGATCACCCCTCTCCCCCCAAAAAAGTTCAATTTTAACCCTAGATAAGGTCAAAATGAGTCTCCTCAAAAAAGAATCTAGACCATTCATTTTATGATTTTTTAAGATCTTAGCCTTTATAAACTCAAAATCATTTTTTATTTTATTTTTTACTATCTAATGATAATAAAGCCATCCAAAAAAATTGGAAATGAAAAAATCCTTCTAGGTCCTAGATCTAAGCATTTCACCAAAATGAATGGCCTATGTTAATGGGGTTAAAAATATACTTTCTAGGTTGTGTTTTCAAATTTTTCTTTCTTTATGATTGTTCATTAGAATGAAAAGAGTGTAT